TCAGGGCCTCATCTTCCTTCTCGTTTTCCCCTGCTCAGGCTAACAGCTTCCTGGTCTGGGAAGAGAAAGGGCTCCAGGACATCTTCTCTGGAGTAAGACAGCTCGAGTAGGGCTGTGAAACCTGGAGGAGCTCTGAGCCCACCGTCTCTATGGTGCTGCTCCTCTTTGCCTCCCAAAAGTTGATGACAATTCACTTTGTGCAGGCTGCCCCTGACAAAGGGACAATTGTCATGCAGAGAGTCCTGGGGACAGTCCCAGATGGCCTTGGAGTGCTGCAGGACCTGAGCTGTGCAGTAGCAGCTCTCCCAGACACTGGATCAGTCAGAAGGATCCAGCACCTCCCATAGGCCCTGCAGTCCCACCAGGACCATGGCACTTGGGTCCAGAAGGCGAGAGGGGGCAGGGCATCCATGCTGCTCGCCCACATCTGCCACTGCAGCAGTGGCAGGAGACTGAGCAGTGCCAGGCACCTCCAGAGCATGGATTCCATGCCCAGCAATCCAGGGAGAACTTCCACACCATGCAGAACCACTTAAAGGGGAAATATTATACTATGAAATTTTTAACAAATTTCATGAAAACAGTTTCCTTATAAAACTTTTGCCTTGCAACCAAACCCAAAGCACCGGCCAGAGGACAGCAGCACCTGCGTGTGACACCTCTACCAACCAGATAGTGCCAACGCGGTTCCTGCATCTGGTGGCTTCTGCCCACTTGGCACCTTCCAGCTGGGCCTCTGTGCTCTGCACTGGGGGCAGATCCCTGCGCATCCCAGTTTTCGGCAGTGGGGAAGCGAGGAGCTGGGATCCAGCACCGTGCCAGGGCTCAGGCAAGAACACAAGCTGCAGGCAGGGCTGAGCCCAAGGCGGCCGCCTGTCGCCAACCACCAGACACGCGGCTGCCAGTGCGGCCTCGGCGCTTGTGGTGGGCAGCCAAGGAGCAGAACCGAGATAACGGGATGGGGGAGAGAGGAATGTGCCGCATTTTTCCTGAGCCACCAAGGGAATTGGCTATTCTGACCGTGGATTGCAGGGAGGCTGTCTGACAGGAACAACTCCAGGAGCCGAAATAGGAAAAACAGCCAGTAAGCAAAGGAAAAGAAAACAGAGAGAAATCAGGCTGAACAAGAGTTGAGTATGAGGAAAGGAGTGTGGGTGGAAGGTGAGCAGAGGAATAAATGGAAGAAGGAAAACTAGGGCTAGAGGTGGGGAAGGAAAAGGATGCCAGGAGAACAAACCTGCCAGTGCCGAGACTCCTGATGAGCACCGGAGCTGGAAGGATGTGAGAGGGAACAGAGGCTCTCAGCTCTGCACACACAGGAGCAAATTAGGGATCACAGTCCTTTTATTGGATTAAGCCTCGCTTAAGAGGGAAGATAAATGTGGAGCATATCTCAGGTGACAGGCACAAGAGGAGAGGAGGCCTCAGTTCACTCTAAGTGGGGAGAACGGGGATTGCTGGAGTTTTGCCTATAGGGTAGTGCGAGGTCTCCACAGGAGTCACCAGCTTTCACCTTCTTCACCCCAACAGCAGAAGGTGATGGGCTTCAACTCAAGAGTAGTCTTGTGCTGTTTAGGCTGGGGAGCTAGATTAGGATTCCAGACTAGCAGAAAGCAGAGCTTTAATCAACCAGACCCCCAAACCCTCCCTTATCTCAGTTAGCAGATTTTGCCTCATTTGCAGCACACCCTGCGAGCCCTGGCACAGACCATCCAGCAAAGACAAGGAGAAGGGAATCAGCAAACCTGGACAAAACCAGACGTGCAGCCCCCAGGTTTCTCCCCCAAGACTGGGAAAGATCCCTGCAATGCTTCTCTCCAGGCACCTCCCAGCAGCAGGACAGCGGCTCACGGGAGCAATGGGCTGAGGTGATCGGGCACATTCACAGCCTGAACACTGGGGACTTTGTGGGGCTGGCTTTAAAAAAAACACCCTAAAAAAGCCTAATAATGAAGTATTTATTTCAGTAAACAACATATGAATGAAAGAAGTGTTTTCTCAATACTTCACTTTTTCCTCTGCCTTCTCTCCCTTCCCCCCAGCAATTTTGTTTTTAATAAGTGGAACTAACGAGGCTTCGCTTGCTGCCGGCCGAGCTGGGGAGCAGGACCGTGCTCCGCTCGCCTGGTGCAGCACATGAACACGTGCCATGGGAATAAAGCCTGCCTTGTGCCCGGGGGGATCACGACCCGTCAGCGTGGCCCAACCAGGGAGATGTGCTTTGATGGACACACGGAATGTGAGAACTGCCATGGGAGCAGCCCTGAGCTTTTGGGTAGGCAGCACAGGACATCCAGCACCTCCTTTATTGTGGCATCAAATAAACTGCATCCCCTGGCCCAGGGACTCTGGCCCAAGGTGTCCCCAGGGACTGGGAAAAGGGCCAAGGGGAGCTGAAGGCATCTCTGTCCCATCCTACCTGGCTGTGCTCAGGCAGCCACTGTGACACTGAACAGCTCCTTCTCTGCTACCTTGGCTCCATCCAGCTCTACCTGAGCACCTGAATAACTGGGACACTGGAAAACTGGCTCAGTTTGCCCTGTCTGGGGATGCTTTGGAAGGAATTTCAAGCAGGAAACACTAATTGCCGCCCCAGACTGACACAAAGCAAAGGGAACTGAAGATGTTTGGCTTCTCTACCTCCTCCTTGGCAATAGGTAACAGCAGGTTGAGGAGCCCTCCCTTGCCTTCAGGTCTTGTGGTTATGATAGGCAGGATGCTCAGGAGCTGCTGATTTGGGAAAAAATGGTCCATCGCTTTTCCATGGCCCTCCAGCCCATGTGGGGTGAGCTGAACCCATCACACACAGTGTGGGTGTTCACCTCTGCACAGAGGTAAGGGAAAGGATGCAGTGGTGGCCCTGGGTTATAAATACAGACAAATTTGATGCAAGTACTTGCTCTGGAAGACAAATGAGTCACCTGTAGATTGGCCAGGGGGTGAGCCATGTTTTCCATCCGCCACAGCCCAGGATGGTTTGGAGAGACTATCTGAGGATGCTGATCCCACTGTGATGGGCACAGATCCCTGGTGACATACAGGGAACACGGAGAAAAGCTGTTCACACCAGGGAAAAGGCCAGGGGATCCCTTTGGAGGTCTTGGCTGCAGAGGAGGCTGAAAAAAGCCTCTGAATTGCCTTGCCAAGGAAACGTGCGCACATGTGGGCCAGGTACAGGCACAGCTGGAGGTGCAGGATGCCCTGCGGAGCAGCAGCACTCCAGGATCCCTGTGCAGGTGCCACAGTTACTCTTAGGGAACAAAATTCCTGCACTGTAACAACTCAGCTAAGACTGCTCCTGGGTGTCTGCTTAACCACGGCAAAGAGGAAAGGAGGAGGAAGAAGCACGCTGAGATGGTTGGGAGCAGGCGGTGGGCAGGGTCCCCTCCTTGTCATGGTGCCCCCTCCTCTGTGCCCTGCTGGCACCTGAACCCCAGCACCCCGACCCACCTGAGCCTGGCTGCCAGGTTGGATGTCTGATCCAGCTCAAGGTGTCTCCAGCCACAGATAAAACCCGCAGCTGCAGCCTGGGTATCATCCCTGGCCGGGCCACCTGTGCCTGTGTCCCTGCAGGAACAGGGACATTGGGTCCATCTCTCAGGCCTTGCAGCCTCCAGCTCCAGAGATGGCACATGGAAAACCAAAAGCAAAGGCCATCCCTCTTCACCCAGAGCTCATTTCCAAGCTGGTTTACAAAATGCCTCTAAAAGAGCATCATCTCCCGCTGCTGCGAGTCGCTGCTGCACAAGGTGCTTTGCCAAACACAAGACAGATGGCTTCCCCCAGGAAAATGCTATGGAGCGAGGGAAAATGTACCACAAATATCCCCTGACAGGGCTAAACTGGGATCCGAGGGCTTCAAAGAGACATTTAAAGGGAGGAAGGAGATTTGCTGACTTCTCATGCTTGTTTGTTATGAATAAAGACAAACTTTGATTGTTTTTAATGAGCTCTTTGCTTGTTTTCCTATTTGCTACACTACAAATTCACATATTTGTCTATTTGGGAGATGGAGAGTAATTGCAGACCAGGTTTCCTGATGACACCGTCTTAGCAAAGGGAAGAAAGTTGTGCAAGTGAAGGAAGAAGCAGTCTGTCCCCAGATATCCTGAATTCTTTGTCTGGCTCATTAATACCTAGTGAGCTTTGATGCCCAACGAACCTCACAGATAAAGGAAGCCTTTGAGGAGGGTTCCACAACCTCACACTGAAGTGTTAGAACACACAACAGATGCCAGAAAGATCTCCAAAAAAAGCAGGGAAAATGAAAACCAAACTTGACATTCTTGCAATTTCTAAGCATTTCTTTTTTTATTCCTTTTTCCTTCTTTTTTTTTTTTTTTTAAGTTTTACCCTCCTTTATCCATCTAAGGAAGCAGAAAGCAATGCAATTCCCAGCTCTTTTAAATCTCCTTAGCAGGTCACCTCTAACACTGGGAAGGGTGACTGTGATCTGCTTCCAAGACTATTGCATCAGAGCTCAGAAACCCAGGATAGGGAAAGGAAGGTTTGGGAAGGGAAGGTTTGAGAAGGTTTGGGAAGGTTTGGGAAGAGAAGGTTTGAGAAGGTTTGGGAAGGTTTGGGAAGGGAAGGTTTGAGAAGGTATGGGAAGGTTTGAGAAGGGAAGGAAGGGAAGGCAAGGCAAGCAGCAGTGGTGATGTTTGCCAGAGGTTATGTGTTCATGTGCCCCAGCACACACACAGTTCCAACACCCACGTGAGCCCTGAAAGACTCTCATGGCTCAGTTTGTGGGGTCTCCTTCAACCTCCCAAGGAAAGAGCCCCTGGGGCTCCTCACTGCTCCCTGCACTGGGGCAAGGGGGATGCTCTGGGGGGATACCCTGGGGCAGCCTCTGCAGCAGGTGGAGGGGTTCGAAGGGGTGTTGTCCCATGGGACATGGCTTCCACAGGGACAGAGAGATGCAGCAGGGGGGAAAGGGGACAGGAGGGGGACTGGAGAGGCAGGAGTTCCTTCCCCCAGCCCTGTCCTGCAGCTCTTACCATTCAATGCTCAGAGACCTGGGCCGGAATGCAGACAGCTCGGCCGAGGCATACTCAGCTTTCCTTCTCTTCTCCTGCTTCTGCTTCACCGACAAGCGGTGGGCAAACCTAGCGAGGCTGCTCTCCGACCTGGGGAGGGGAGAGGAGAGGCGTTAATGGCACTGAAGTGCCCAGCTCCCAGTGGCACATCTGTGGAGATGCTCAGCACTGAAAGGAGGGGGCTCCCAGAGGGTCAGTGGCACAGGGAAGCAGAAGAGCAGCAGGTTTAGCATTCTTTGAGCAGGACAGGACCAGCACAGACCCATGTTTGCCAACTGAAGGTGCAGCCTGGCAGGTTGAGAGCACCAGGTCCTGCTCCCTCTGCAGCAAAATCACCTCCCCAGGCTTTGCATTCCTGCTCAGACTCCAACTGATGATGGGCAATGCTGGAGAAACAGCCAGCGATATGTTGGTGGAGAGAATCAAAACTGACCCCTGCCTTGGCCACACACTCCTTCAGAGAAACCCTGGAGCCCCTGTGGCCTCCCAGCTGGGGCTCCCAGACACTGGGACAGCTTCCCTGAGGAGGACTGACACAAAAACCAGCTCACACTGGAGAGGTGTCAGAGGAGAAAACAGAAATGTGTGGGAGCAAATGGGTTCAACTGGAGGACCTATCTGTGCTAATAAAGCCCCTTCCCACCAGATGGGATGTCCCACACATACCTGGGACCTGGGAAAAGAGCATCTGCAGGCTCTGGGAACATGCTGCACACCCCTCTCCACTCCAGCCCTCTCCAGAGGAGAGCTGATGTTCCAAGGCACATCTGCACTGTCTCCAAGCCCAGTGGCAGAGAACTGGCACTGAGGTTTGCTCAGGAGCCACCTGCCTTGCAGAAACCTCCTTTCCTCTCCCTCTCCCTCTCCTTCTCTTCTCTCTCTCCTTCTTCCTTTCCTCTCCCTAAACCAAACCAAATACCTCCAAAAAAAGAAAGAAAAAGCAAAGGTATTTCTCAGAACTGAGAGCTCCCTGCCTTTCCTCACAATAATTAAGCCAGCCCCAGCCAGCTAACAGTTTTTTCCCTGATACATTTTAAACACAGACATCTTCAATTCATTAACTCTGGTTATTGATTTATTTTTCAGCTTATGAATTGCTGTTGCTGGGGATAGGGTGGAGACAGCTTTCTGGAGAGGGCTCTTGTCTCTGCAGTCACTGCCGGCAAAGAGCCGCTCAGACCTTCCAGGGTCATTCTTTACATTCTTGAGAAGAAATCCTACTTTGATGTAAAGGATGAGGTTTGCCTTAAAAGAAACCCAGCAAGAAACCCAAACCCCAGCTTTCCTCCGCTCGCACCCGGAGGAAGAGGCGATGAAGAGGAGCGATGTGGGAGCCCAAGGAGCAGAGCCCAGCACCAACACTGTGCCCAGCACCTCTCTCTCCCTTGATGTGGTATCAGAGCTCAGCTGCCATGGATAACAACCCCGTTTGTGGAAGGGTGAGGGGCGGGCATGGAGCCAATGCTCTGCAGCACTGGCATGGTGTGGACCCCAGGGTGAGCAGGACTGACCCCCAGGAATGGGGCTGGGTGCTGGGAACAGGTGCTGCTGGGTTCCTATAGCACCTCCTTGGTGCCATTTGACTGTTCCTGCTCGCTTTTCACCCACCCAGGAGAGGCTCCTGCCACCCTGCAGCTCCAGCTGAAGGGATGCTGGGGGTGTTGACTTCATGAGATCTGGGGACTGCCTGGAGAACGCTGCCCTCTTTGTTGCACTTGCCCCATCCTCACCACACTCCCTGCACCATTACAGCCACCCCTCCCAAATTGGTCCCCAGCAGGAATGAGGTGCTGGGAAATCCCAACCCCCCTGCCTGGATTCAAGAAGGCAGGAACCCCCATGACAAACAAGTGCCTCTGTGGTACCAGTATGTGCCTCTTGCAATGACCACCACTGGGACAATGACACACTCAGGAGGTTTACCTGGATCTATCCACCTGCCCGAGCAGGGAGGGAGCAGCCACTGCATCCTTCAAGTTGGACAGAGCCAACAGCATCTGCCAAGAAGAGCTGGTGGGGGAAAAGAGGGCAACAGGACTGAGGATGAAGGAGAGTTAGTCCTTGGGTCAGGTGTGCTGGTGGGGCTGGAGAAGCCACCTGGGAGCTCAGGAACATGTGGCCTTGCTGTGACTCCCTAATCATGGCATCAAAGGGAAGGCACAGGGAGAAAGGCGATGGATGCCCAGGGCATGTGCTGCCTAGATCTGCCTGACACAGGACAGGCAAGCCAGGCCACATACAAGCCAGAAGTTGACCAAGAATCTTGGGGTGCTGCTTTCACCCCCCAGAGCAACCTTCCAGCCTGCCAGCCAGCCACCACCTCCAGCTGCTCATAGCCCCGTGAGAGGAGACAGCCGTGAGGGGTCTGATAGGCCAGCACCTCCCCCTTGAGAGCTGTCAGCAACTCATCCAGCCATGAACCAGCCTCCTCTCACCTCTGCCAGCCCCAAAAGCTCCAGCAGAAGCATCACTAATTAGAAGCCAGGAGCACATTACAGATCATCTGGCTATTTATACAGAGCTGCTTTACATAAACTGTGCTGCAGAAGGGGGAATGAATCATACCTGCTCTGCCGTGACTGCAGCCTGCTCTGCCCCTCTCCCCTCACCCCACCGAGGCCCTGTTTGTGGTCAGCTCCCCTGAGCTCCTCTGCTGGGGCTACTCTCATTCCCTAGGATCAAGGTGCTCCCAGGGTCAGGATGCTCCCAGGGTGGGGATGCTCCCACAGCTCTGGGCATTGTGCCCAGGTCTGGGCTCTGTGGTGTTGAGCCTCTAACATGGGGGATGCTGCCAGGACCACCCTTCTGCTTCCCAAGTGCTTTCCAAACACTAATAGATGCCCCTATCCCTTGAGAAAGGTCAGCATTAGGGATTTTAAAGGAAACTGAGGCATGAAGATGCTGTGCAGGTGAGACAGGTTCCCTGTGGTTGGCAGCATCCATCCCTTTGTGTGCTTCACTGAAGACTTCTCTGCCTTCCCCCACCAGTACCACACACTCAGCACCACAAGTGCTGCTCTGGGCAACAGGAAGCCCCAGGGAGCCACTGTCACCTTGAGTCAGCTTCATGGCAGCTGTGGGATGGGGACAAGGCCAGCACTGCCCCCCCAGCCCTGCCACTGCGCGGCACTGCTCCAGGTCCAGCCGGGCAGGATCCGGACTCACCTGCCCAGCCCTCCAGCAGAAGCAGCATCTCTGCAGCAGCTCAGTATTGGCATGGTCAGGGCTTGGTAGACCTAGCTGGCACCTGACAAGGCTCTGTGGCAGTGCCTGCACCCCAAGGAGACTTGCCAAGGCTCCGTGGCGATCCCTGCACACCGAGGGGACACGCGGGAAAAGCCATCAATTGGAACACCAACCACAGTGCTGGGGAGAATTGTCTCCTGACAACCAGAGAAGGTTGTTCAGCAACTGTGCTGTATCATAAATCACACCTCTATGACTTGCCATCTGTCAGCCAGATTACACATGTTCAGAGTCCCATGTCAGTGTTTAAGTCAGAACACAGCATCTTTCTCCCAGAAATAATTATTGGTGCTGAAGGCTCTTGCAGAAATACCCATCATCAGCCCTTCCATCCAAAGGACAGAACAGAGCTGGCATTCCCAGAAGGCAGGACCACTGCTGCGGCACAGGGATGCACAGCCTCCATGTGACATGTCCCCCATAAACCCCCTGCTTTAGGCAAACGGGGTCGGACATAGCGAACCCCCCACCCTGGCACCAGGCATGGCACCCAGCACCCCGCACAGAGCAGGCAGGGGCAGCCAGAAACGGAGGCTGCTGCTGAAGGGAGATGGGGACAGTGCTGTCCCCAGCCTGGTGTGCACTGAGGGCCCTGGAGTGTCCAACTAGGATGAGCAAAAGGTGTCCAGAGCAGCACTCAGACCCCAGCCTGGCCAAGGGGGCAGAGATGGGCCCAGTGCAGGGCACAGCTCCCACAGCCCTGATGTGCTGTGTGTGCCACCAGCCTGTGCCCATTTCTTCATCCTACACGTCTTCTGGGAATCCAACCCCACCATGGGCAGCTGCCGAAGCCCCTGGTCTGCTAAGGCAGTGGGGACACAGGCAGAGCACGGACACGGTGGGCTGGCAGCCTGTCCCCATCCTGTCTATGGCTCAGGCAGCTCGCTGAGCCAGCTCAGGACACAGCATCCCAGCACAGAAATCCCTCAGCTGCCCTCTGGGATGAGGACAAGGGGCTGAAGTGCCGCCCTCCGCCCCCTCACCGGCCAGGCAGGCGGATAAGCAGTGACATTTCCCAAAGCTCAGCACAGAAATACACAGGGACTGGATTCATCCCCCTGGCTTCACCCTCCGGGCACAGGCGTGAATCCGGCCGGGGGCTCGCAATGCCTCACCACCACTTCCCCCATGCCACAAATGGGAAGTGATGACAAGCAAAATCCTGGTCCCCTCAGCTCTGCATCCCTCCCTCCCCTGCGGTGCCCCTGGAGGAACACCGTGGGCTGATCTGCTAAGAAGCCTTTCAGCAGTTCGCAGCCGGCGCGGTGAGCGTGTGCCCGCGGACGCCCGGGGTGCCAGCGTGTCACCTCACCCAGTGCTGGCACAGCACGACTCGGCCGTGCCATGGCCAGAGCTGCAGGGAGACCGTGGTCCCGGCAGGCACAGCTGCACCAACCTGTGGGTGAGGGATGACCGAGGTCACCAGAGTGCCAGTCCAGGCACCAGCCCCGGCAACACCTCTGCTCCACCAACACACTCAGTCAAAGCCCTGCCCACCTCACGGGCACCAGCCAGCCATCCCTCAGTGATGGAGATAGCACATCCAGGCAGGAATAGCTCCCACTTGTTGCACGCCTTAGCCTCAGACTTGGGAGTCAGCACGCGCCTGTACATGGCTCTGAACTAACCCAGCTCCAGGCAGGCAGCTCCCAGCCTCTTCCATCAGCACAGACAACAGTCCTGGGATGAGCCATGGGGTGGCTGTGGGCAGCCCAGGTACTTGGCAGCAAGCAAACAGGCAGCGTTTCAGCTGGTCCTCCCTCCTTTGGGAGCAGCCACTGCACAAACAGCTTAGAGCTGAGCTTATCCCCACGGGCATCCCGGCTGCAGCCAGCCTTGAGAAG